GGGTCTCAGTATCTCATCAGTAATCCAGGCTGGTCTCCAGCACACTATATAGCTGAGGCTAGCCTTGCAAGTCTGATTGCCCTGGTGGGATCAAGGAAGCATGCACCATTCCAATCAATGAAGACTTCTTATGCAATCCATCACTTTGTACAGTAAATTTACACAAAAGCAATGTTTTTTTTTTTTTAAAAAGAAAGTAACAAAAACTGTAGAAAAGTGAAGCTAGAGCTCCTGAACTTTTTTGTTATGATGGTATTATAAAAATGGTATTATAATATAAATCACTTTATTATTTAAGATATTATGATATGCTTGATTCCTGCCCACAACCAAATGCATCCATGATGGTACATTAGCTGAGGGGAGATAGGAACACAAAGAGAAGAAAGGGAGGATATCAATAGTGGCAGGAACAAAGGGACAAGAGTTACGGGAATTCAACATCTGGAAGGTATTATTCATCATTTTTAGTTTACCTAGACTCCACTAAAGTGAACCTTTCTTATCCCCTGCACCCAGACGGTGTCAATCTTTTACAAACATCTGGTGAGGATGGAAGTACCTTCCCTAGTAGTCAGCAGTATCCCTGAATATTGCATAGCAGGATAGTATTTTCCCCTTAAGCACAAGCAATGCTGACCACATTAAATCAAGCACACTAATTCATGTTTGTGGCAGTTGGGACTTTGAGAAAGACGGCTAGAACAGTGATGAGGTAACACGACTTGTGGGCATGGGGAATCTGGCCTGAGTGAAAGTGGAAGAATGAAAGCAAGGGCCAGCTAAGAGGAGAGAGAGAAGAGTGCAAGATGCATAAGAAGAAATTAGCATAGCCACCCGGAGCCCACCTTGGCTATGGCTGTGCAGGAAAATCATGAAATTTGATTGCCTTGGCACATGCTGCAGTGCCTTTCCTTATGCCTGTTAGGTCTCAGGCTAGTTACTTGTTGCTAAGTCTCAGTTTCCTCAAATAAGAAATGACAATAATAATAAAGCTAACTACTTCATAACTCAGGAGTGTAATCCATTTATAGAGATAAAGCATTTAGAACAATGTGTATCGTAGAGGAGTCAACAGGCATTACCTTTATCATTATAATCCTGTGTTCTCATGATAAAAATACAATTTTTGTGCTACCTGAATTCTAAAATTATTCAGAGACACAAATGCTACTAAATTACTTGGTGTTGTAGGATTTAGCAGATTAGGAGAACTCATTCATGTCACCTTGATTAAAACATATCTGCTATGAGAATACATACCGTAGTCATTAGAATTTATTTTTCCTTCTGCCATTTGTACATTTCTGCACCCAATATCTGCCAGCCACTTGCCATTCCTTTGAAGATCATGAGTTTGAGATACTGGGAAACACTTGGAACTTTCTTAAGTATAGCCTGCTAATCTTATTAAAACCATAAGAAAGAAAACAAGTGGATATGTAGTAAGCTTGTGTATGCGTCATTACTTTATACCAGATTCAGCAAGAACTAACACTTAGAGATTAGCCATAAACTTACTTTGTTTTCCATTTGTAACTGTCATTAGAAAAGGATGGAGTTTTAATAAAATGTAACGTTTAGTTATTAACTCACAGGCATGTCTGGATTCTCATTATTCTCCCTTCTATTCATGTACTCTCTTTGAGACTGTTATGGGCAATGAGATGTAAAGGAGCAGCTGAAAAGAGCTCCAGAAGTGAACTAATGAACAGACCTGAGATAACTGGGAGTCAGATGTAGTGTTTTATTATGTATTATTTTCTATGAGAAGTAAGTGGATTTTAGACATACTCATAAACCTGGAGAGATGCTAAAGACTATATATATACACACACACAATTGAAGGCCACATTTACTTGATAGCTACTTTATTTTTTTCTATGAAAAAATGTACTTCAAAATTTCCAAGACCCAATTTCAAGCTAAATCATAAGTAAAGACTCTTGGTTATTGGATTAAATGAGGAGTCAGAGCTCCCATCTCCTGCCAGTGAGGAGCCCTCGAATCCACTTCAACAGGACAGCAATCAGTTCTGTCTTCACTTGGGGAGTTCAGAGTCAATTGAGATGGGGCCCAGCCAGGGGAAAGTAATTCTTTTCTAAGCAAACAGAATTGCACTTGTATGAAATGATCTAGAAAGTGTGTGTCATGAGACCTTCCCAATCTGTGAAGGATATCACTTTTTTTCTCTTTTGTACCTGACTTCTGAGATACGTTTGGAGATACAGGAAATGCTAGGGTAGGCAGTGCCAATTCCAGTAAGTCTTTGAAACCATCCTTCCTTCTGGCCAAACAGAACAACTAGAATTCATTTTTTCTATGTTCAAAATCCAGTTTCTACAAGTTTCATAATTAAATGTGCTCAGCCAACTGTAATGACCTCATAGCAAAAAAAGACAAAGAGGTTTTGAATCCCACATTATCAGAATAAGGGTCCATTGCTATGTGTACTAATTATATATTTAGTACAGTGTGAAACCAGGGTCAAGTTGGAAGATGTGGACACCCCTCAGCCTGCCAGGGAACCTGTTACATAAGCAGGGGTTCAGCCAAGGTGCTGAACTGTATCTGCCTTTCCCAACTCATGTGTTGAAATCCTTATACCCAGTACCTCTATATGCTACTGTACTTGGAGACTGGGTATTTAAAGAAGTGATTGATAAAGTTAAGATAAAGTTATTAAGGTGGGTAACAGTTGAATATTATTCATGTTCCATACAAAGAAGAAATTTGGACACAGGTAGAGAGGAAAGACTATGTTGAGACAGAAGGACCATGCATGAAGAAAGATGCCCATGGTAGGAACCTCCTTTGCCAATATCTTGGGCTGAAACTTGTAGCCTCAGATTGTGAGACAATGAATTTACGTTGTTTATTCCAGCGGGTGGTACTTTGTTATGGCAACCCAAGGAACTTATGCTAGCTACATTTACGGCTGGCGAGCATCCTTGGAAGATCTTTGCACTGAGTGAAGGCTGGTCCGCAGCAGAGACCAGATGCTCCCTATACTTCTCAGTAAGGATCATCTTGAAATGGGAAGTTTGTTACCCAATAGTTCAAGGATTGTCAGAGTAGGAGGAAGGGAGAGGCAGTATGTGGAAGCGATAATTTTCTTTTATGTATCAAAAAGTCCTCCTTGGATTTCTTATTACAAAAGTGTTTCATGTTCATTGTAAAAAGTACTGGGACACACAGGTGGGAAAAATGTAGAAACAATGTATTTGTGATCTTATTTGTTTTCCAAACATTTTCATGAACACACAAATCTGTGTACCTAGTAGATAACATACATGTAAATGTACATATCTGCAAACAGTCTGATAGGTCTTCCTGTTCAGCTCTGTAGGTCAGACTGTCCTTGAACTCATAGTCTCCTGCCTCAGTTTCCTATGTGTTCAGATTGGAGGCATGCAATACATGCATGCATCATGACATTTGGCCTGGGATCACTCTTTGACACCAGTAAGAATCATTTCCAACATCTGATACTGTTTCACTCATTGGTTATACTCTAGAGAATGTGCTGGTAGATGGATGTGTCTAGTGTTTGGCATATGTTATGGCTTTGATATCTATTTACCAGACTACCTTAGAGAAGGGATGTATCCATTTTTATCAGTGTCTATCCAAGTCCAACAGAAAACCTTTTACCAATAACTGTAGACTTAGCTGCCCACAGGCTCTCTGTGGATTTCCTCCTAGGGAGCAAAGTATGGAAAGTGGAGGATCCTGCAAATTGTGCCAGTAGTGACTCAGGATGCTGTAAGTGGCTTGATGAAGAGTACACAACACCAGAGGACAAGGCATTTCCCGGCTTAGCAGAGCAACAGGTGAAAGCGAGCATGGCAGGATCAGCATGTCCTCGCCACTGAGATGGGAGCCATTATCTCTGCCAGGTAGGGTCATGTCAGGTCAGCATCTAGGAGACTATTTGGAGAATATGACACTAGTAGGGGAGTTGAGAGTGAAGAAGTGTGAAGCAAGGACTTGTGTTGTTCACTTGAGAGGGGAAGGGAGGTCTCTGAGGACCTCTGAGGAAGCTGGGAAGGGCTGGCAGGCAGAGGTTCCAGGGGTTCACTGCAGGGAGCTGTGATCACTGCAGCTCTGACCCTTGGTTGTTCATCTTGTCCCCTGAGCTTTGAGGGCCTGGGAAAACACAGGTTATGCTAGGAAACAAGAGTATAAGGCCTAGTGGCCTTTGCAGTTTGTATGCATTAATGGAAGATGCTATTTGATTCTGGTTCTTTGCCCAGTATAAGAGATCCCAAGGGGGCACACTTAAAAGGAAAACTGAGTTAATTTTTGAATGAAAAAAAGTAATGTGTAAACACGAAAATTATGTGTCACTCAATGAAATGTTGGCAAGAAACCTTCTGGCACGTGATGATAAAATAGGTTAATTCCTCTTGGGAGAGACTTTCATTTCTCATTAGAAGGCTGCGGAGCTTCATAAGGAGCACTTCATAATAAGCAGCAGGCTGTGAGTTTGTGGTAGATGCATTGTAGGAGAAGGGAGAACAGTTTCCTTGTATCTAGAAGGGTGCTGCTATTGCTCCCATTTCAGGATACTCACAATGTACCTGCTCATCTTTCTGCTTTGAGTCTTTGCTGGCCAGACCCCCTGCCCCCCACACCAACAAGGAGGTCACAGTGATCTTGAAATAAAGTCTAAACAAGAAGGAAATATTACCAAAATCCTTCCTTCCTTCCTTCTTTTTTAAAAAAGTGGTACCAAGCCTGGAACCCAGTGTCCTGCACATGATAAACTCTAACGTTGCTTTATATTTCCAACTCCTCGACTTCTCTGAGATATAGATTTAGCCGCCAAAGTTGCTTCTCAAAACTGACTTACATTTTGTGTATTCACCCACAGCAATGAATACATTTCCAATAAAAAGAAACAATTTCTGGTACCTTCAATGGCACCGCAGAATGAATCATTTCATAGCCACACAGCAGCCTGTCAAGCTAAAGAGAGTCATGAAAACCAGGCTTACCGTCTATCACTGGCTTTGGCTGTGAACTCTTGAGGCGTAGTGAGGGCCTGAAGCGGGTTCGGTCGTTGAAGCTCCAGCTCTTCTGCACTTTGGTGGGGCTGCCCTCAGCAGTGATGTCAGTGCTCGGGGACCTCCTGTCACCTACTGATGCTTGTCTGCTCTTAATGCTCTGGCCCCTCGGGCTAGCCATGCGCACTCTCTCCTTAAAACTCAGCTTCTGACTGTGAAGAACAGAGTCATGATTATTCCATCTCAAAAACTTCCTTCCATTTCACATGAGTACATGATTTGATGGAGCTGTATAAGGTTATATACATCAACAGGCAAGAGTGTGTTCAGCAAGTAGGAGCATAGAAATAAATATATTCCTTCTTGAAGAAAATTAACTTTATTTGATCATGGTGTTTGTATTCATTTGAGGTCAGTCTCACTCTTATGGGTATATGCATGCTTCTTAGATTTATGTAGGAAGACAAGAGACCAGGTACAGCAGTTTGTACCCAATTTCACTGAAGATAATCAAGAATGGGTATGGAATTCACTTTAAAAACTGCTGGGTGATTGTAGCTTTCCTCCCCACTGGTGAGTTTTTAAAGTTCCCTTTTCTTTGTTTGTTTGTCTGGGTGACCTTTCTTTGTAATTCCTAAGCATCTCTACAGGTAAACAGGGGTGATGATTACATATGTACCTACAGTCAGCATGCATTATCTATCTCAGGCAAGATTATGATTTCCATAAATTCATGCAATCTCAAAGCAATTGACAGCACTGCACACAGATATTATACACACAACACTTAACATTACATCCTTCATTCTTGGGAAAAGAAACCACACAGGGTGGAACAGCCTCAACATGTAATGAATGGGATGATTGACAGAATGAGATGCAATGTTCACTATCACAATTTCCTGCTATGAAACAAGCTATTGATTTGCTGTGGCAGCTACTGGTAAGATCACATTTGTCTGAACGTTCTGTTCTCTGATGCTTCGTAGGATCGAGCTGCCATGGGCTGATCAAGGATGTATTAACAATAAAATCCAAAATGCATCTTCAGTCTTTCCCAGTTTAAGACGTGTGTTTCATGTGCTGTGCTAGGAGGAACAGGTAGGAGGGCTGTGGAGTTCTCTGGCTCATGTGAAGACAAGATTAGCCTGGCTAAAGGGGTTTTCTAGAAATCAAATGAACTGCATGCCCCAGTCTTATTTTCCTGTTTTATTTATAGAGTGCCGCACTATTCATTAGAAAGTAGCACACCGTTATCAATGTGAGGGGCCCAGTGCTCCTCAAGGACAGAAGAAATAATGGGGCAATGGATCTGAGGGTGAGTCGCTTAGCACAGCTCTTGTGAGTCATGCTGCAGCCTTTGTGGGGGATGAAGGCAGCGTGCTTATGGATAAGGACTGTCTGAGACCAAGTGAAGGCCTTGACTTTTCCACTTACCGCAGTGTCCACTGTCCCCAGCTGCAGCATGCCAACAGCAAATGTGTTTAGTGGATATGTGTTTGGCAGCTAACAAGAGATAGTAACATTTGTTTTCCCATGCCTAGTTGCTTAACATCTGGTGTTCTAGAAAGGTACCATGTTTAATGTGAATTTGCTTCCATGAAAACAAACCAAATCATGAACAATGGTGGTCAGAGAGTCTGGTTAACACTAAAGGAGTTGACCATGCAACTGACATCTCCTGTCCCAAATGCAGACACAGCCACTTCCAGCACAACCAGCTGAAGGCACATGCAGGCTGGGCAGTTTTGTGATGAGGTCATATGAGTTCAAGAGCTCTGTGCAACAGCCCCATCAATCACAGGGTTTATCTGTACTTGACAAATGTACGATTAAATGAAAGATTACATTAAACAACAGCAACAGAAAACATCTTAAGACCACATAGTTTTATGCTCTTGTTATTTAGAGAAATCTGTTGAAGAGATAGGTCAAAAATGTTTACTCTTCTTTAAAAAAGTGTTTAAATATAAAAATTTCCAATCTTTGTTTTTCAATTCAGTAATCTGTACCATAATTTAAATTTATGATGAGTTCAGGAGACATGTTTTCACCTCTGCACCCTTATTGTGACGAATGGCTGCCTCAAGTAGACACAACCACCACTTCAAGTGTCTTCATTCTGTTTGAGCTTGCCTCTAACATTTTTTTGGAACTAAGGCTAATGACATAGAAGGTTGAGTTTAGAAGCTGGAAAGTGATTTTTTCCCAACTTCCAAGATAAATTTCTTTCTTATACAAACTGAATGGTCAAAAAAGCCGATAAAATAATAAAACAATGAATATAAATTGCATTTTATTCTTTGTCAAGAATTACAATTTAAAAAAGGTAGAAAATTTCTAAAATAAAACATCATCAAATTTGCCATGATTTATTTGAGATGACAAGAGTGTTTTAAAATTGCTCCTTAAAATGTATTGATGACACTTCAACACATTAGTGAAAAGTTGGGGGATACTCTCTAAATCTCTGCGCATTAAAAGATATAAATTAATTCTAGGTACTATTTCCTTTTTGGTTTTCTCTAAATTTATTTTATTATTATTTTTTGTGTGTTTGGGTGTTCTGTCTGTCTGTCTGTCTGTCTGTCTGTCTACCCTGTGCATGCCTGCTGTTCAGAGGCCAGGAAAGGACAGCAGATCCCCTGGAAATGGAGTTACAGTTGTGAGACACCATGTGAGTGCTCAGAATCCAACCTGGTCCTGCAGAAGAGTGTCCCATGCCCTTAACCGCTGAGGCATCTCCTCAGCTCCCCCCCCACCTCCATGGGAAAAAAATCTAAGTTAATGCATGGTGGCTCTTGCCTTTAATCCTAGCACTTGGGAGGCAGAGACAGGCAGATGCCTGTGAGTTTAAGGTCAGTCCATTCACATAGCAAGTCCCAGGCTAGCCAGGGTTATTTAAGGTGACTTTGTCTCAGAAAACCAAAGCCAAACCAGACTGAACCAAACCAAACTAAACCAAACCAAAACAAACATCTAAATTAAATTCAACAATAAAACGTAATATTTTCTTTTGTCTTTAAGAATATGAAAGTTTATAACAGCATCCTAATCCAGAAGGAGTTTCTTTTTCTTTTTCTTTTTCCTCCAAGGAAAAGTTCTGTTCGCGTGATCTCTCAAGGAAAGTTTTCTTTTATTGGTTATTCTACTTCCTTTCCCCTTTGGAAATCAACAGAGCATCTTAATTAGATGACTAGTAAACTGATTAGGTGGCTGTAATTGAAAATACACATCAGTTCAAATACAGACACTTCACTGGTACATAAAAGTTTCCATTACTTTCTTGGGTTTTTTGTTGACATTTATGAATATGGCTTTTGAGGAAGCATTTTCAGGAAGCATGCCAGGGATGATTCCCCAGGAGAGCAAGTAAGTCTCTCTTTGGAGAAAGAAAGCAAAAGGTCGCGATGGTCACTGATTGGGGCATCTTAGTACGCAATCCCATGTTCCCAGCTGAGCACCATGCTCAAGGGAGCCTGCACAACTGCCCTGCAAGGGAATTCATCCTTCTCTAGAACCAGATGTCCAAATCACTGCGATGGCCCAGCATGCACTCCACTGTTAGATGCTCACTGCCAGGAAATCTTGTGGCATCGTAATTCCACAGTAAACCACTAGGGCTTACAATGCTGCCGCTATTGTTATACACAATTAGGGTTTTAGCCCTTCATAAGATAAGCGCTCTGTAAACTGCCTCAGGCACAATATGGCAACCCAGCCATTAACAAACCAGCGCGTGCAACAGCTTAGCAGTTGTCCAGCCACAAGGAGGCGCCAAAAGGCTGACTGCCAACACTATGCCTGCATTTAAAAAATTTTTTTTTTCCCCTTTTGGCTCAGTGGTGGAGTATCAAAGCAGGCAACAGGCAACAAGGAAAATCACAAGCGCGCTGAAAACCTCATCCAAGAAGTCCCTAGGAGAGTGAGTCTGTAAACAGGGCCCAGGTGTAGTGGCGTAACCTGTCATGCACCTGAGGTTAGTTGGCATTCTCAAACCTCATGTCAACAGCTGGGATGCTGGGTACCTCTGCTTCCGTGAGGTGTACATTCTGAAGAACTTCTGCTTATTATTACAGAACTTACTAGGAGTGAGGGAAATAGAGCAGTGCATTACTAAGCGTTTCACCGCCAGCACAGCGCTGAGGGCTTTCTTTTTCTAAAGACAAGCCATTCGATTTTACTGTTTCGGTTTTCCATCTCTATGTATATGAGAAGACAGAGTACACAAGCAGCAAGTACTCTGCGGTTCAGTTGTGCTGCTCGAGACACAGCCAGGGTTCTTACGGTTAGGCTGAAACAATTAGGTCGGAAACAAGCATTACAAACGATGATAGTATGTGTTAGGATCTGTTTTATATGAGGTGGGAAGATAAATATTGTAGAGTACAGCGACTTCTGTAATAACTGTCAGTGAATATAGTATAAATAAGGGAGAAATCAGATGTTCCAGGAAATTTAAGGATGGTTATTTTCATAAATCAATGAAGTAGATAACATTAGTTACTTTGGAATTGAATACACACACAGACACACACACACACACACACACACACACACACACAGAGAGAGAGAGAGAGAGAGAGAGAGAGAGAGAGAGAGAGGGTTTGGGTGAAACTGAAGTTATAGTTAGCATAGGTAGATGGCTGTCAGGTTGAATACCTGTCCAAAAGCAATCAGAAGAAAGGGTTCTAGATCACCAGTTTGTAAACACAAAACAGTTACTTATTTATTCAGTCTGTGGCTATTTATAAAAGAGTAAATCCCTTCCTTCTATAAATAATATGAACAGATGGAAAGGTTGCTTTTAAACCATCTAATATTTTGCCAGCAAGGACCAGAGATGATTATGCTGGGAGAGAAATTCAGTCTAGTCTCACTAGGTTTAATTGAACAATACATGGGGGTCATTCTCTGTACACAAAAGAAAAGCAAGTGGTAGAAAATAAATGCAGAAGAAATGTAAAGACACAGTGTCTTCCACAAGCATTCTAGAGTTCTTTCCTAGGAGCCACACAACTGGACCATAACCCAACACACAGGGAGTGGTTTGGACAGAGCACCCGATGAATTAGGGTACACAAGGGAAATGTCATAAGACAGTGTCAACCTATGCCTTAGCATGTGTGACATGAAACTTAATTCATCTTCACGGCTGTCTTAGAGGGCTGAAACAGCTTTAGGGATGCTCTATATATAGAAAACAAGGCAG